GTTCCTTCCTAAGTGGAGCACTTTGCATTTGTCTTTATTAAACTTCATCCTGTTTACCTCAGACCATTTCTCCAATTTGTCCAGATCATTTTGAATTATGACCCTATCTTCCAAAACCGTTGCAATCCTTCCCAGTTTGGTATCATCTGCAAACTTAATAAGCGTACTTTCTATGCCAATATCTAAGTTGTTGATGAAGATATTGAACAGAGCTGGTCCCCAAACAGACCCCTGCAGTGCTTATTTCACATGTGTCGTTGACGACTGCAGGAGGATCAAACACCTACTGGAGTTAGCCTTCTGAGTAGGATGGAAAATTATGGTCACTAAAATAAGAGTAGTAATGCAAAAAATCCCTCTCACCTACTGCCAACTACTGTATCTTTTTTTCAAATTCCTTATTTATATAAACACTTCTGTATATTTCTTGGAACAGCAGACCAGCTGGTCGTCTACTGGCAGTTATTTGGAGGTACCCGGGGGTAAATGGCAGGAAGGTGGCATAAGGGAAGTATGTTTCTGTAGTTGAAGAGTGAGAGGAGCAGTGACCAGACAAGGTTTTGGTCGTGATAATGGAGAGGAAATGATGGATTTTTGAGAAGTTATAGATGGGAAAAGTAACAGGATTTAGTGGTGTGAACGAAAAGAGTGAAAAATGACAAGGTTATGAACCCAGGTGACAAGAAAGATGGTGGAATCTTAAGTGAAATTGTGATTTTTATGGTCTGCATGCCAATTCAAATGCTTGTCTTATTTTCTCTTATTAGAAAAACTCTTGAATGTTCCTAAAATAGTTAAAGGTGACATGCAGAGGATTCTTAATTTTTGTTGTTGTTGTTGCTTTTTCTTGAGGTATGAAAGCTTTTTTTATCTTTACCTTTAGAAATAGCACCAATGTAGTCATCTCTGGTCTCCTTTCGTTTTCCAGGATGTCTGTGTGTGGTTTTTTTTTTGTGAACTTTGTGCATTATCTGAAAGTGGAGCTGTTTGATTTTTATATAGAGAGGGCCTTCTTGAGGTTTTTATAATAGAAGAAATCCCTCCACAGACACTGAAAATAAACTCTTCAGGCCTTCTTTATACACCTATACCCCGATATAACGCGGTCCTCGGGAGCCAAAAATCCCTACCACGTTATAGGTGAAACCCCGTTATATCGGAGAAGTGGCGGCAGGGCTCCAGCAGTGATTTAAAGGGCCTGGGGCTCCCCGCAGCAGCCAGAGCCCCGGACCCTTTAAAGCGCCGCCCGAGCCCCGCTGCCGGAGTCCTGGGGTTACCG